GCTCCGCCGAGGCCGCGCGAGCTCATCACACCCCCACGCCGGGGGGCCCCGCGCCCACGCGCCCAACGCGCCTGCGCCCGTCCCCGATGCGCGCCCCCGTTCGCCTTCTCCCCAGAGCTGCGGCTCAGGGAGCACGCGGGTGCTCGTGGCACGGCCGGCCCTTTGCCTGTGGGTGCTCCAGGACATCCCATGCCCAGCGGGTCCCACATCCTGCAGGCCCCGGTGCTGATCTGCCCGTGCTGGTCCAGGGGGAGGCTGGGCCAGGGCCACCTCGCTCATGGCTTTGCCACTTAGGCTGAGGTACCCCGGGGAGGGAAGGGTTGTGGCATGGGGATGGTAACACGGAGACAGACCCGTAGCATGTCCCACCTCTGCCTGCGCTCCTGGGCAGCCAGGAGATCCTGGCCTGCGCTGCTGGGCCAGCTGCACATGAGTCCTCATGGAGGGCCCAGAGAGTCTCCACCTCACCACGGGGCACAGACCCACATTTGTGCATGTGCTCACACCGGCACACACGTGCATGTGTCTGCCTTCACCCATGTCCACGTGGGCTCCCTTGGGCGCGCAGGTTCCCACGGGAGGCCCCGTGCTCGCACACGCGTGCCCTCCCAGCTCTGCGCGCCCGTGCTGCTGTGTGCGCGCGCCCGCTTGCCCGAGCGTGTGCGCACGTACCCTTGCATGTGCCCGGGCAGGGGTGCGAGTGAGCCCGGGGAGAGCTGGCATGCCCCTCTGTGCCTGCGCCAACTTGCATGGGCCACGTGCCCCGCTGTGCGCACGGACACCCACCTATGGGTGCCCAGGTGCACACATATGCGTGCTCACCCTCACCTGTGCGCTTGGACCCATGCATGTGCACCCCTCGCATGGGCATGTCTGCGGCAGGCRCTCACACGCGTGTGCTGGTGCCATCCAGTGGCCAGCAGCCACCTTGCAGCGTGGCCCTGCCACGCGTGTGCCAGCAGCGGGTGCAGGGCTGCCTGCCGCAGGGAGGGGATACCCCGTGCAGCACCCCATGTGGCACCAATGGCCCCTGGCAGCGGGGGATGGTGGCCATGCCCCGTGGTGCCACCCTTGACAGTGCTACCCCCAATCTGGCCTTGGCATTTGCATCTGGTGCACCCCCAATTAACGCACCCTCTGCCCACCTGGGGGGGATCCTGGGACCTGGTGCTGCCACAGCCATGATTGCCACGGTGCAGTGCGTGCCACGGTGCAGTGMGTGCCACGGTGCAGTGAGTGCCATGGCCCAAGCTATGGCAAAGCCCCCCGCAAGATGCTGCCTGTGTTCCCTCTGTCCACACCACAAGTGTGTCTGACCCACACCAGCACGGCGGGGCGCTCAGGACCCCACACCACCCTCCCCAGGCACACTCCAGCCTTGGCTCCGGGGGCTCTGCAGGGTATCACTGGTGGGCGGCAGAGCCCCAGAAGGATTTGAGCTAAGCCGGTCKCTGCCGGACTCCCTTCGCCCAGTCCCATTCCCAGGCGCCGAGCCACGGTGACAAACCACACGACACTGCTGGGCTGGCTGTGCAGCACCCGCTGCTCCTTTAGTGTGGGAGAGGCCCAGTGGCCTCTGGGCACCCGCTGTGGGGCAGCACATCACGGGGCAGCACATCGTGGGGCAGCACRCAGGCTGCAGCCGCGCCTGGGCACTCTTTGGTCCTAGCAATGGTCCCGTGCAGACACGGGGGGCARCTGAGGTGAGGGACACAGTGGGGAGCAGCTGGGGGCTGAGCACCCTCAATGACCACGGCGTATGGGCACCCGCAGAGCACTGCAGATGGGTGACGCCTGAAGGGGGCCCAGTTGGCCTGGACAAGGGTAGCCCAAGGAATGACCCCTCGGGGCGACAGAGACCTGTCCTCGCTGCCACCAGCTGCTGCCGTGGGACAGGGGCTTTGCAGAGCCAGCAGCTCTGCAAGGGAGCTGCCCTGGCTGGAGGCTGCAGCCCCGGCGGTGCCAGGAGCCCCCATGGGTGCCGCTTCTGCAGGTCAGAAGCCAGGACCCCAGGTGAGGTTTAAGTGCTAACTTTGGATGCCAGGGCAGGAAGGGGCACAGTGAGAGCAGGGGTGGGGGGGCACGAGCCCTCTTTGGTGTCTGCAGGGTTTGCTCCCTGCCCACAGCCCCTCGCCGTGGTCCTGGCTGCGCCCACGAGCAGCCCCGCGCAGGGCGCCCTGCCCGCTGCAGGGCCGGAGGGGAGCGGGTTAAGTGCCCCYGCGCCAGGGCCATTGTCTCTGACACAATGGGGAGGAAGAGGACGCTGGGGGCCGAGGGGCTGGGGCAGGTCCCCAGCACATTCCTCYGGCTCCAGCTCGGCAGATGGACAGAGCTGGGGCTGGACGGACTGACTGGACAGACAGAGGATGGTTTAACCCTTGCGGGAGCTGCTAGCTGAGACCCTGAGGCATCGCTGGGGTTTAAGGCACATGGTGCAGCGCCAGCCCTGAGGCGGGCACTGGCATTCAGGAAAAGGAAGGGGATGCTGCCAGGGCGCACGGAGGCAAACCCAGGGTGCAGGGTCCGTCCTTCRGCACCTGGGCCCTGGGGCGACAGCTGCTCCTTGCCCAGGGCTGCGGGGTGGCACCAGCRCCCCTGCCCTGCTGGTGCCCGTGGCCAGGGTTAAGTCCTGGTGCCCCTTCCCCTGCTTGCTAAAGTAGAAAAATAAATAATCTGCAGGGGATGGACAGACAAGAGAGAGCCAGCGTGGGGCTGGGTCTGCTTTGGTAGCACGGTTCTCCATGCGGGTGGCAGGGAGCTGCAAACACGCCTCGCCATGCGGGTCCTAGGAACCCTCTGGCTCTGCCGCCACCCTCATTTGGGGGCAGAGAGGCCCCCTCTCACCACTGCAAGGCACTGGGAAGCTTGGAGCGCGGTGGCGAGCAGAGAGGAGCTTGCACTGCCCTCGCAAGGGGAGGCCGGGCGGCCTGGGCTTGGTGGCTAGCAGCCCACAGGGGCCTGGCCTAGACTCTCCTGGAGGCAGCGGAGCTGCTCCTGGCCCAGCTTGATCTTCTCCTCCAGCTCCCTCTGCTCGGTGATGAGGGCTGACTTCATCTTGACAAAGTGCTGGTAGTCCTGGAGGTGCTCGTCGCGCAGGTAGCGCGCCACCATGGCGCCCACCGCCTTCTCCCGCCGCCCCACGTGCTCCTTGAGCTCCTTGGCGTCCTCCAGCTGCGCCGCCAGCTGCCGCTTCTTCTCCCGCAGGGCCACCTGTGAGACGGGCAGCGTTGAAGACCTGGCACCGCCAGCCGCCCCGTGCCCCATCGCCCCGCGCGCCCACCTTGTCCTCGGCGGAGGTGTGCGGCCCCAGGCTGTTGAGCGCGTTCTCCACGCGGGCCAGGCGCCCCGAGAGGGAGAGCAGCAGGTTCACCACCTTGTCCAGGTCGCCCACGAAGAGGCGGTACTTGTCGAACTCGCCGGGCGTGCAGAGGGCCTGCAGGCGCGCTGCCACGTCCTCGCCCAGCGCCCCGTTGGCGCTGATGTCCTCCTGCAGCCCCCGCTGCGCCTCCTGCAGCACCGACAGCTTCCGACTCAGGCTCTCGATCAGCTGCATCTGCAGCAGCAAAGGGGTCAGAGAGCCCTGCACTCCCGGGCTCCATCTGGGAAGGGGCAGGGTGCAAGGAGCCCGCAGTGCCCAGGGCACCAAGCTGGAGGGCAGCGCAGTGGGGCCGAACCAACCCCCTGCTCAGCAGGCACAGAGGAGCGAGGACGGCTGCTCCCCTGCCCAGGTCATACCCTATGTCCCGAGCAAGCGCCCACTTTACCTTCTTCTCCACCAGCTCGTGATCCACCTCGTCGTCCTCCGAGCTCCCCTCRGCCACCTCCGGCAGCTCCTTCATCTTGTTGAGCAGCTCGGCTTTGCCCGCTGACGTGTTGTAGTAGGCTGAGTAGGAGGTGGGGCTGGTGGGGGGTGGCGAGATGGGCTCGAAGCCCTGCCTGCGAGGAGAGCGGCCCAGGGGTGCGCGGGGGCAGCAGGGCCAGACCCGAGCCGCCCGCTGCAGCCCCGGGGCTCTGCCTGGCACCGCTGCAGCCCCGGGGCTCTGCCCGGCACCGCTGCCAGCCCTACCTGTCCTGCGCCACAGCGTCCAGGCGCCAGTCCTGCTGGAAACGCTCCTTCCAGGCCTGCCGCTCGCCGCCGGCCAGCAGCTCGCCCATGAGCTCGGCGGCGGTGACGAGCCCGGCGGGCGGCACRAGGATGCTGGCGAGCGAGCGGTCCCGGCCCGCCACGTCCCACATGAGCTCCTCCGAGTTCATGCGGCGTGGCTGGGGCCGGCTCGGTGTGCCCGCCCGCTGCCTGGCTCCCTCCAGCACCTCCGGGCTCCCCTCCGGCTCCTTGGGCGCTGGGGGAGAGGAGATGGGCCCGGTGTGAGGGGTGGTCCTTGCTGGGGCCCTGGGCGCAGGCAGGGAGCACTCACCAGCGCCGCAGGAGCTGGCCCAGCCCTGGTCCTGGCTCCGGCTGACCCTCTGGGGCTGCTCTTCCTTTTCCCAAGGGGGTCTCACCGTCGCTCGCTCTTCATCGGCCTCATCCAACCTGTGGACCCAAGCCCAGGGGTCAGGATGCCCGCAGCTGGCGCAATGGCACCCTGGACCCAGCAGTGTAGAGARGGGAATGGGAGAAATTCCCCTCAAAAAAAGCACACGAGGGTGCACGAGCACAGGCACTCAGCAAATGGGGAAACGGCCACATGTAAAAACAGACTCCCTCAAACCCACCCTGCACCCAGACACCCAGCCTGTGCCATAGGGCAGGACATGGGCAGCAGRGTGGGGCCAGGAGCACCCAGCCCAAGCACAGCTCTCCCCAGAAGCCTGCGGCACCAATGCAGATTGAGGGGAGCCCCAAGCACCCACTCCAGCACCCCATGGGGACATGAAACATTCCCGGGGCCAGGAGGTCTCCATGGAAATCTCCCCTCCACGCGCTCACCGAGGAGGCGCAACTTGCCTGCAAAGCTCGGCRGCACCAGCCTCGGGCTCCGGCGTCCTCCGCAGAGAGCCGGGGCCGTAGGGGCGGGCGGCAGGGCGCTCCAGCGGGGCCCAGGCGTCCGGCGTCTTGCCTGTCTGCCCGGCGGGGAGGCTCCGCGAGCGCTCCCGCACCACCTCGGCGATGCTGCGCGACGGCGTCCGCGGCTGCTCCGGCGCCGCCGTGCCCGACCCGGGGCCATCCGCCGGGAAGGGCTGCGGGTGCGACGGCCGCCGCGGTCTGTACTTCTCCCAGTTGGGGGGCGGAGGCCGGGGGGGCGGTGGGCCCTTCTTTTTGGGGGCGCCGGCAGGTTCGGGCTTGGCACGGGGCAGCTCCCTGCGGTCCCTGCCCCGCGGGCTGGGCGGCTGCACGTTGAGGTGGCTCTCGGAGAAGGCCCTGCCACGCAGCGGGCGCTGCAGGGGCTCCGGGGGGCTCTCGGGGGAGCGTGCGGGCCGCTCGCCGTCCCACGACAGGTCGTGCGTGGACGTGGTCCGGTAGCAGGGCAGCCACTCCTGCTCAGCGTCCTCGAAGCACGGGCGGAAGGGGCCGTAGCGCGGGAAGCCCGGCTTGTAGCGGGAGAGCTCACTGGAGGCAAGAGGACACCCRCGCCCCAAGGTTACTCCCGGGGTTACATCTCCACGCTCCATTCAGCCCCGTGCCCCCACTCGCCCCAGGGTGGGCACCGAGTGCCCCTASCCCCAGATGCTCCCGCCTGCGCCGCCGGGCTCGGGGCCCCGCGTGGGGCCGGCAGCCCCGCTGCGCTCTGCCGGCGGCGGCCGCCCCGCGGGTTTCCTGCCGAGCGGCACGCACGTCCCCGCGCCCCCCCTTACCTCACCGACTGGCTGGTTTTCCTGTTTATCGCCGGGGGCTCCCACTCGTCCAGAGGAAATTCCTAGGCGGGGGAATCACAGGGAGCGTGAATGGCGGGATGAGCCCTCCCCGCGGCGCCCAGGCGCCTCCCCCGGCTGGGGCAGGAGGGAGCGTGGCCCCACACTGCCACGCTCATGCATCCGAGGAGAGGGGCAGCGATGCCAAGGGAACCGCTGCTCCCAGCCCCACGGATCCCACCCCGGGAACTAAGAGGAGCCAAGGGGAGGGCCTGGAGCACATGGTGCCAGGGGGCCACACAACTCACCRCAGGGAAGGCTTTCCGTGCTGACCACGCGTCGCTCTCCTCCCGCACGGCGCGGGGGGCCGGGCAGTAGCARTCGGAGTAGCGGGCCCAGGGCGGCGGCGGGCAGCGGTAGGCATGGCCGTGGGGCAGCAGCGAGGGGCACAGCTCCGYGGAGCAGTAGCGGCAGGGCTCGCGCAGCACGGCGCCCGCGCCACCGTAGCCGTACGGGAAGGCCCGCAGGTACTCGTAGTCCCCGCGCCGCGCCAGCGGGTTGTAGTAGGGAGGCTGCTCGTGGCAGCACTCGGCGTAGGGGCCGGCGGCGCCGGGGCGAGCGGGCGAGGGCGGCCCGTAGGGCTGGTCGAGGGAGAGGCGCCGGGGGTCGCGGCACTCGGTGCCCACTGGCTGGAAGGCGTCGGGCTCGGGCGCCTTGGGCCGGTAGGCGCCGGGCTTGACGTGCCGAGGGGGCAGGGGCCGGCTGCTCTCCTCAAAGAAGCGGCGCCGGTCGGCGAAGGGCAGCAGGACGGCCTCGTCGCCCGGCCGCAGCGGCGACGCCGGCGCCTCCTGGGCCTTGCCGTAGCCCTCCGGCTCCCGGGGGCTCGGGGAGCGCTGCGGCTGCAGCTTGCGCTCGGGAGACCAGCGCCAGCGGCCCCTGCCCGCCGGCGCCACCGGCTGCCGCTCGCGCTGCGGGGACGGTGGCGCTTGGGGCACCAGGGGCGCTGGCTCGGGGGTGGTGGTGGCGCG